ACTAGCCCAAGCCTCCAGGCTTCTTTGATCTTGTTGGTGAGGTGATGGATTGCATCTGTCGTTGTCCTGCAGGGTCGTCCTCCATAGTGATTTGCTGGCAGTAGGTCATTATTTTCCAGTAGCCAGGATACTTCTTCGGCAATGATTGATGTCAGTACTTTGCTTATTGTGCATAGCAATGCAATCGGTCTGTACGCTTTCGGCACTTCGTAGGATGGTTTTCCTGGCTTCCTGAGTACGACCATTGTGAACACTTTCCAGTCCTCGTATTGGTGACCCAGTGCAAGTGTTGCCCTGAAGATATTGACCAGGTATGGGGCAATCAGATCCACTGTCTTTTGTAGTACAATGTTAGGTATCCCATCTGGTCCAGGTGCTTTGTATGGTGCCAGTGCCTGTATGTTCACCAGGACCTGTGCCTCGTTGATTACTGTCCTTGGCTCCAGTGGAGTCGGGTACTGGTAGTCCTCCGGTATGGTTGATTGCAGGGGTCTGTTGGGGAAGAATGCGTCATTTAGTGCTTCCACCTTTTCTTCATTGGTGATGTGTTTTCTTCCTGAGCCATCAGGGGCTGTAGTCTTGAGTGTAGGTATCCTGGGGTTGCCCCCGTCTCCTGTTGGCTCTGTAAGATATCGGCTCGCTGTCCACATTTCTCTTTCTGTGGCCTCCTCAAGGAATTCCTCCCAATGGGATCGCTTGGCCACAAGTATTGTGTCTGAGTATTTGCTCCTTAGGCATTTGTATTCTTGGAAAGCTGGGTGTTCTGGGGTGTGTTTCCATACGTAGGATTTGTGGTTGAGTTTATTCAGCTCCTTCTTCATGTTGTTGAGCTCTTTGTTCCACCACCTCTTCATGTGCAGGCATACCTTTACCATCAGTACTGCCACCTCTATTGATTCCTGCAGGATCCTTGTGAGGCATCTTATCTGTTTATCTAATTCACTCACCGAGTTGAGTTCTCCCAGCTCCTGGAGTTCCAGGAGTCTCTTTTCCACTTCCTTTCGGAATTGTGCCCATTCCGTCATCTTGAAGTTGAAGGAGGGCTTGGGCTTGATCTTCTCCATGGGGAGGTCAATGATTGTTGCGATCGGGAAGTGGTCGGTGCATGGCGGTCGTAGTGTTGCATCCACATCACATCTGATTACATGCGTCAGTAGTTGCTCTGTCATGAAAACATTGTCTGGCCTTGTGTATCTCTTTGTCCTGTGTGTTTGAAGTGTTGGCACCTCCCTTGGTAGTGCCATCACCATGTCGTGTTCAGCTAGGATCTGAATAAATCTCTCTGCTTGCTCGCCGTTCTGACCTCTGAAGAGGTCTATGTCTTCCTCTCTATCCCACATTGGGTGGTGCCTGTTGAAATCCCCACACCAGATCACTTGTCTATTTTCATCTCTGTAGTATTCCTCTCTGTGGTCACAGAGGAATCGGTTGAGGCAGTTTTGCACTCTGTTGTGGTCACAGGCATTGTAGACATTGAAGATGGCCAGTCGTCCGTAAGCTCCCCGTAGTCTGATTGCTGTTATGTCGTTGGTTTTTGGCACGTTAATTATCTCCCAGTCGTTTGTGTTGAGCTTCTCATTGACCCAGATGACAGACCTGACCCTCCCTGCATCCTTATCGTATCTTGCTACTGGGTGTACTGGTCAGAATCGGTTGGGGGTCCGGATGTGGTTATATCTGGTAATGTGCAGCTCTTGTATGCAGATGACGTCCCAGTTGTCTGCAAGGTTGCCATTGATTAGTTCGAGTTGTGCTGATTCAGATTTGTTCAGGTTTAGTTGCAGTATTCGTAGCCGGTTGCTTGGGTTAGTTGTATCTATCATAATGTTGTCGTTAGGGGGGTCTCCTTGTTCTTCGTGTTGCGGTTAGCTTGGCCTCCGTTAAGGTTGGCTAGCTTCATCTTGTATGCCTGGCAGTCTGCGCTGAACGACTCATGTCCATCTTCCTTGCAGTTTATGCAGTGGGTTTGGTCGAGTTACATTCTTTTGATTTGTGTCCCTTCTCTCCACATTTGCTGCATATATCATCTGTTTCGAGGCAGTCAGATGCATAGTGACCAAAGCATTGGCACTTAGCGCATTGGACTGGGACCTTCTGGTCCCTTTCCACTGGTATCATCCTTCCCCATAGACTGATGTGCCTCCTTCGTGTCATTAGCCTTTCTACTTCCTCGCCTTCTGCGAGTGTGATGAGTAGGTGCGCTGTTCTTTGATTTTCGCTTCTTCTGTCGATCGCTTTGATCCATCAGGCTTTGACAAAGGTGTGTGAGTCCCAGCAGTTTTCATCCATTAGTTCCTCCGTGTGTTCCTTGTCGTCTGGGTTGAAGTTGCATGGTACAAACTTGGCCACTATTGTGCGCGTCCTTTTTGTGAAGTCGACCTTGACTTTGAGTTCATTCCTGAATGCTTCTGAGTTGCTTGGTTCCCGGATCCAGTCACCTGTTTCCTCTGAGTTCAGTTCTATTAGGATACCTCCCATCTGCATTTTCTCTACAGAGACAATGTTAGCGCCTGCTGGGGCATTAACTGCCTTGAGCGCTCGTCGGAGCTCTTCTCTTCGTCCAACGTTGCTTGTGTTGGCCAGGGGATGGTCCTTTTCAATGTCGAGGACTAGTTGCCGAGCCTTTGACCTCTTGTGCTCCTTCTCCCTGGCTTCGCTCCATTGGTTCTTGGCTGGTCTTGGTGGTTGGCCCTGCTTTGGTCCGAGTGCTGGGAAGCCTGCCTCCTCCAGCTGTTTGGCCGCTTGGTCCTTGTAGCTCGCCTTCGCCTCTTCCTTGCCTTGGGCCTCCTTTGCTAGTTCCTCCAATGTCTTGATGCTGCGATCCACCCGGTCTTGCATGCATTCCTCCCTCGCCTGCATCCGGTTTTCGGCCTCCTTCAGTGCATCCTTCATTGTGCTGATGAAGTCTTCTTTGATTGCTGTCATTGCGTCAGTTTCTCCAGTTTCGCCCTCCTCTTTTTCTTCGCCCTCGAGCTCCACTCTCCTTTTGAGCATGGCTCCTACAGCTTTGGCAGCCTTTCTGAGGTCTCCTGTTGCGAATTGGGTGCCGCTCCCAACACTGCATAGTATCCCTGCCAGCGTCTTCTGTGAGGGGTGGTCATCTTCTGCATTGAGGAGTCCTTTTTGAATTAGCCACGCCCTGTGTTCCAGGAGCTCCTTGTAGCTCCTTAGCGCTTCCACTTCGGCTTGGTCTTCTGCCGTGTTAGGCAGTGTTTTTGTTGTGGTATCTGGTTGGCCGGTTGGGCGTGGCCCCCTTTTGTTGCCTCCTGCTGCTTTGGTGCCCGTGGGCGTGCTGGTTATGTTTGGTTCATTTACTACTTCGTTCGGGATGTTTAGAATAGGAAAGAATGAGGTTATTTCACTGTTTCTACCGCTCTTTTGTGATACCGAGGCAGACATGACGGGCGTCTAGTCTGGTGTACCACGTGGTTCGGGTAGAAGAAGTTTTTCTTGCCCAGTGATTGTGAAGGCTTAGTGGTAGTAGCGCCAGTGGGGAGGATGGGAAGGACGTGAGAAGAAAAGTTTACTGGATGGGTGAGGTGACCCAAGTTACCAATGCACCGAATACTTATCGAGGTCACCAGAAGCCAGGTAGCCGTCATGTCCCCTGAAATAAGCGCAGAAGGAATGCTGCTTGGTCCTGGAATTATTTGGTATGAGGTGCACGAAGGTCAAGGGGACCATATACGAATTTAGGAGGAATCCCATCGGATGAAATGTGAAGCAGTATGATGACTTAGTGGTCTTACTCACTCTATAGCCAGTTATACGAGGGCCCCGCACCATACACCGTAGGGATACACTGTGACGTAACCCCAATAGACGCGGACATGTGCAGCTTGCACTAGAAGCAGAGAATAAGTTCGAATTTCGGGAGGCTGTTCGAGATGTATTTATCGCCGCCAACCTTATCAAACATCCACGACAAGTCCCCGAGACAATAACACGACAGATTGATAGAAGAGGATCGACGGGCCGCTATCCATGCCTCGATCATCCAATCTAAGAACCGGATTTCTCAGGTGGCGATTTGCGCGGCTGGGATACTGCGACAGTTCGATGCTTCTTTGATCGTACTGTCGTAACCATTTTCAAGTCGCTCGGCTTAGTTGGAGGAGGCTGCGATTGCAAGAGATCGGAGGATATGTAGGGGGAGACGTTGTCAGGTTTGTCAAGATATTTGGCAGGTCGCCTTCGGTGAATGTACCAAGCGAGAAGGAGGAGAATGACGAGGCACAAAGTACCCCCCAGAATCTCACTGGAAATGATTCCTGCAGAGGTATCTGCGAGGTCCGGTGCTCGGGCCTCCTCAGTAGCTGAAGCTTCTGGAGTAGGGTGTCCAGTCGAGGTGGGTGTAGTGATGGGTTGGTTGGTGGTGATTGTGGTTGCACATTGTCCAGACACCAGCGAAAAGTCACCGGTGATAACCACATAATCGAGAAGGAAATCTCCTGGTGACTGGATGACAATTTGTAGCGTATGAGAGCTCGAGTTTAAAGGCGATGATTGATAGAATTGGACATTATATTGGGTGTCGTTGGTCGGTTGAGCATGATAATTGACTGGTGCATCTGAATCGAGGATGTATTGGGTTACGGGGTCTGCCACACCAGCACTCGTTGCAGATACCGTGCCGAAAACGGTGATGAGGGAGCCTGTTGGTCTTCTAGTTAGAATACTGTGACGATTACATTTGATCTGACTCACCAAAAAAGGTGACATTGACACCAGAACCCACGGCCGCCGAGTATGACGTACTATTCATGAATTCACCAGCAGTTCCTATGGCCGACCAGTCGTTGAGTCCTGGTGCTGATGAAAAATAAACGATCGAAGGGTCGCGATCATCAACGAAAAGTTGGCGGGACAACGACATATTGAAGCGTCAAGGTACAGTCCCCCGAAGGCGGAAATGGGAAAAGAGTCAGGAGGACCGTCAGATGGTGGAAATGAGAGGTAGGGATGCTCTTAAGAAGAGCGGAAGAGTTCGTGGGATGAAGGCTGATAGATATTACGATTCAGAGACGACAAGAGCAACAGAGTTCGTATTGCATCACATTCCCTTGGCTGGGCGAGGCAGAGAAGCAGGAAATAGCCCGCCGCAACCGCGGTCCGGATCTCGCGGTACGGACCCCATAAACTAGAGTATGGGCTCCGTTTTTGACCACTAGCTTAAAGACAATGTCCTGTCACAAGCCTGGCGTACTGAATCCAGGGACTCGTTTGAGACCACCGTATCCATCCCAGCAATAATCACTAATATCCCGCGCCCTTTAACCATGGCGAGGGCGGATGGCAAAGGCACTTGTAGCAAGCAAGGTCCCCACATGCAATTCGCGAAGCCTTTATATTCCGGGTATTCAGGATCCTAAGCCAACTTGTTTATTGTCAAGCGGTACGATTACAGTATATATTTCCGCATAGCCATGAGTTCAGCGCCGAAGGCAACTACATAGACCACAGTGGTTGGCTAGACAAAGTTTGCAGGTTGGTCGACAGTATAGGGAACCGAGAGCAGGAAGCGAGACGGTCAGTGATACGTGGCCAATGATGGACGCGAAAGGTCGAGATATAATGGACAATATAGTGGCAGGCGCCCCGGACGAGATGAGGTGAGCGTCGGATTTGGAATTTGAACGTAGAGGCGAAGTGCACCGTGTTAGTTTCCGGCAACTCGGAAGGTAAGTTGAGGTCACACCAGAGGTCACAATATCATAGCCCTGCCAGGCAACTGGACTCTCCCTGACTGGGACCGACGCCATCAACTCATAGACCTCAACTCATTCTTGTCTCTTGACGCTCCGTTCACTACCAACTCTACATAATATCGCTGTACAGGCACTGATACGGCGCAATAATGGTGGCACCCAGTACGAAACGTGCAGTATTTGAAGGTGCGAACCTCCGCGGTCTCCTAATTGTGCCTGTTGAAAATTTGGCTTGTCTAGTCGCCCTCTTTTTAGCATCTCAAGTGCGTACTAGAGTCTATCTGTTTCTGACGAATCTATTTAATGAATGACCAAGGCAGCCCTGTTCTACACGGTCCGGGTACGTACATCTTCCAACACCACCGTTTCATCATTCGTTCTTACCTGTACACCCCGGCGCCTAGTGGGTCGTCGACAGTATCACGAGTCCAGATAAGAAGGAGGAGGTCAAAGAGAAGCAGCTGGAAGCATTAAAACGACTAGGTCACTCCAGTCTGGTGTTGGACGAGTATGAGAGTGCGTACCTCTGCTAGAATGTACTAGTTCTAATTGCTCAAGTTTGCTTCAGAAAAGGTAGCTAACGAGGTCATACATCCGGATGATATCAATATCCGGTTTTCCGGTACGTCTCCTCGTATGCTCTCCATCTTGACCCCGAGAGTATTGATGCGTCACCCAACAGATATCGGTGGTCTCGACAACATAATCTCCTCTCTTCGAGAGTCCGTCATCTACCCCCTTCTCTACCCTAATCTCTTCACCTCATCATCATCCCTACTCGGCGCCCCGAAGGGTGTCTTATTATTTGGTCCTCCAGGATGTGGGAAAACCATGCTCGCCAAAGCTCTCGCTAAGGAGTCGGGCGCCACATTCATCAACATTGCTGCATCTGTTCTAACGAACAAGTGGTATGGAGAGTCCAACAAGCTCGTAGCAGGCCTCTTTAGTCTGGCACGGAAGGTGCAACCGAGTATCATCTTTATTGATGAAATCGACTCGTTCTTGCGGGAACGGACGAAGGGCGATCATGAGGTGACTGGCATGATGAAGGCTGAGTTCATGACGTGCGTACGATACTAAGCCCTTTGATGCCTCTTGTCACTTATTGCTTGATATCCCGAACAGTCTCTGGGACGGTCTCACTTCAGCGACTGACCGGATACTGGTCCTTGGCGCCACGAACCGACCGAACGATATTGATTCTGCTATTCTCCGACGCATGCCCAAACGTTTCGCAGTCGGCCTACCAAACTACGACCAGCGGCTAAAGATCCTAAACCTCGTACGCCGCGTTTCTGGCTTACTTTTCGGACAAAGTCTGATCATAGATTACAGATGCTAAAAGACACCCAACTTGCCCAAGGGTTCTCGATGACAACTCTGGCGGATCTCACAGAGAGTCACTCAGGTTCCGATCTCCGAGAATTATGTAGGAACGCCGCCATGGTACCAGTCCGTGAGTTCATGCGGGGTGCGGAGGGTAATGAAGAACTGTTAGCAAAGGGTCAACTCGAGGTACGATCAGAACCTTTTTTTTCACACACCGCTCATTGATTCGCTTCCTCCCAATTCATAGGGCTTCAACCTACGGCCACTAGCACTTGAAGACTTCTTTGCCCATGATGGTACAAGTCCGCTACCGCCTCCAGTCGTGAACATAGAAGAGCTTGCACGGTTAGTAGAGGAAGACGCAAACAACCATAACAACCTCGATTAGTCTCTCTCCACGCCACATCGTCGCCTTGCATGCGTACGACGCGCTGCT